AGCGTGTCCGCCGCAGCCCCAAGATGGGGGTCGCCCTGGAGCGCGTGGGCCCCGAGGGCAGCCCTTACCTCTCCAGGCGCCACCGAGGCCAGGGCCCGGAGGGCGAGCACTACCAAAGCTGTCTGCAGCTGGCCCCTCCGCGCTGCCTGGAGGATCTGGGCCACGGCCCCCTGAGTCTGGCTGGTGGCCCTCGGGTGGGCGGGGCTGTGGCCGCAGCCAGTGAAGGGCCCCGCATGGAGTGGAAGGTCAAGGTGCGCAGCGATGGAACCCGCTACGTGGCCAAGCGGCCCGTGCGTGATCGCCTCCTGAAAGCCCGGGCCCTGAAGATCCGTGAGGAGCGCAGTGGCATGACCACGGACGACGACGCTGTCAGCGAGATGAAGATGGGCCGCTATTGGAGCAAGGAGGAGCGGAAGCAGCATCTGATCCGGGCTCGGGAGCAGCGCAAGCGGCGTGAGTTCATGATGCAGAGCCGGTTGGAGTGCCTGAGGGAACAGCAGAACGGCGACAGCAAGGCTGAGCTCAACATCATTGCCCTGAGCCACCGCAAGACCATGAAGAAGCGGAATAAGAAGATTCTAGACAACTGGATCACCATTCAGGAGATGCTGGCCCATGGCACCCGCTCAGCTGACGGCAAGCGAGTCTACAACCCTCTGCTCTCCGTCACCACCGTCTGAGCTGCCCAGATGGGAGCCAGCTGCGCTACAGGGCGGGCCCTCTGCCCCTGCCCCTGCCCGGGTCCAGTGAGCCTCCAGGAATCCCACCCCCTCGTCTCCCGTAGAATCTAGTGTGTGTCTTTGTGCACAGGTGTGCACACACCTGTCTTTGTATTTGTGCACAGGACTTGGTTACCAGAGAGAAGCCCCCAAGGAGAATGGGCACCCCTTCCACTGTGTGTGTGCACGCGCGCGTGTGTGTATGTGTGTGCAACATTAGCCCAGGCACATGCACGTGCACACACTCCCCCCTTCCACCCCCTGCCCCCAGCTCTCAGTGTATTGAGCTGAAAAGGAGAGGTAAAGAGGATTGTCCTAAGCACAAGAGAATGTCCAGCTCCTGAGCTGAGCAGTCTCTCCCCCATGCTGGGAGCCTCCGCTATTTGTAGACAAAGGCGACCCTGTTTTTGTGGTTTTTCTCCCTTTCTGTGCTTGCCAATTGTTTTTCTGTTTTGTGCACCTGCCCTGGGGGGTAGCAGCTCCTTCAGGCAGCCTGACAAAGGTGGAACCCCCCTAGTGAGGGCTGGGAAGGAGGGGGGTGGGAGGGGAGTAAGAGAAGGGAGGGGAGGGGTGGGAGGGAAGGGATGGGAAGGAAGGGAAGAATGGGAAGCAGCTTTCCTGCTGGCCTCCGCTCTGAGGTGTGGGGACAAGAGCTTTCAAGGCTCACCCTGGGGGCTACCTCCTGTGACCAAGGGAGAGCTGAGACGGGCCTGAGGGGCCAGTATCCATCCAAGAAGAAATACCTGAGCCAAGGGCTGTGCCTGACTCCATGTGGAGCGTGGCTTCTCTTCTGAGGGTCGTGAGGGGTCCAGAAGCGAGGCCCACGTGTCATAGCAAAAGAGCTTTGTGACAAGATCCACATGGAATTGAGGGAGCTGCCTGGAGCCGAGCGAGAGCCGTGCCAGGCTAGCTGGGATGACTGGGGAGATGTCCTGCACCCCGCTTTGCAGGTGTGGACTGGGATGTTCTCCAGGGCCCCTCAGCCTCAGAGAGCCTCAGCTTGGAGGCAGACAGATTGCCCATCCCTGCCCCCCACTGGCATCACAATAAAGCAAGCTGCCTTTTTATGGTGACTCCTGGCCTCCCTGTGTTTATTCTCATCAATCGAGCTTGGGTGGCAGAGGAGTGTGTGTGTGTGTGTGTGTGTGTATGTGTTGGGGGGGGGGGGTTGGAGGGGAGTGAAGGGCAGGGCAGGTGAGGACATGCCAATTGAAAGCTGTCTCTCAGCCTTCCTGGCATATCACTGAGGAACAGCAAGGTTTTGTTTGCTTTTTAATATATTTTTTATTGTTGATAGTATTCTAGGTATCTCCCATTTTTTACTCCCCCCTCCTCCCAGCCCTCATTATTTCAGAGAGAGAGAAACATCAATGATGAGAATCATTGATCGGCTGCCTCCTGCACACACCCCACTTGGATCGAGCCCACAACCCAGGCACGTGCCCTGACTGGGAATAGAACTGTGACCTGGTTCATAGGTCATCACTCAACCACTGAGCCACGACGGCTGGGAAACAGCAAGATCTTTTGGCAGTGTCCTATACCTGACAGGAGGTATGACAGGGTCACTTGAATCATTTCAAGGATGTGACATGGCCTCAGGGGTGGTGCACAGATGCAGGATGACAGGCTTGGCTCAGGTCTGAATGAGGCTAACACTCCTTCATTGCTGGAGCCTGAGAGAAGGGGTTCCACCCCACCCCTTCCCCCTGCTCCAGAAGAACTGTTTGTGCTTCTCAAAGGCACAAACCTTCCCTATTTGGGGACCCCAGTGCCTAGCACGTAGATGATGCTGAGTAAAAGTCTAGGCCATGATGTGGATGAATACCTGGGTGGCCCTTCTGGCTCTTAGACTTCCAGAGGTGCAGCCAGATGTTCCATTCAGTGCAGCAAACCACTGGTAGCTAAGCGCCAGGACCCATGCTACATGCTGGGCCGGAGCCAGGGCCCTGAAGGCCATCTCAGGTGTGGCCTGCTCTGTGCGTGACGCTCCTTGGAGTGGGCAGTGTGGCCATGAAGGGGGCTTCTGAACAGACTGGATGCTGCCAGCAGCTGATGTGGGCAAGGAAACACTTAAATTCTCTTTAAAAATAAATTATGTAGACCTCTCATTAACTCTGAAAATTGGCTGAGATGGGCACGAGTGAGGAGTCCACGTTCCCAGAAGCCCATTCCCCTGCTGGGAAGGCAGGTTCCCAAGTGGGCCACATCTGTCCAGCTACTACCCATGTATGTCCAGCTACTGTGTTGAGCAGCTGGGCAGGAAGGCCCAACATCACACTGCAGACTGGAATGCCATCAAGGGTGAGGGAGCCCAGAGCTTGTTAGTGAAAAGGGGTGAAGGGAGCAGAAGGGTAGGGGCATGGGATGTTGACTCATGGGCATGGGTCTTCAGCCCTCCAAGACCTATTGCTGAAGACTAGGTATGTAGATTCTTGTGACCCCCACTTCTCTGGAGGGAACATTACCCCATAGAGGAGGATGGGGCTTTCCTGCCACAGAAAACGGGGTGAGGGGGGTGGGGAGTGGGAGACAAGCCTACCATTCCCTGGGCACAGCTCTCCAACTGTCGGGAGGCAACTTGAATGGCTCCAGAGATTCCCCATTCTTGTTTCAGCCAGGATTTGCGTGGTGGCCTAGTACTCGGGGGATGTGGGCCAAGACAGGCCTAGGGCCTGGGGCCCTGAAAGCCAGCGCTGTGGCTGGGCTCTCACCGATTCTTGGAGGTGGTGCACCCGGAGGATTGGCAGCCCTAGGACAGTGACTTCACATCTGGGTCCTATTGCCATTGGGCAGGGTAGTGGAGCCAGGATCAAAAAGGGCCCCTGGGTGGCATGCAGCTGCCCGTCTACCTTGCCTGCCTCGCCAGCACCCACCACCTCCAGCAGGTGCCCCTTAAGCTCCCTCTGCTGGTCTATGGAATCCAGCAACCCTAGCAGCCAGCAACCCTAGCCTGGCTTGGCCCTCAAGGGATTCAGCTGTACTGCTTTTGGGAGTGAGGACCCAGCTCTTGAGAGCCTCCCATGCCTTCCAGTCACTCCCATCCTGAGTAGGGACAGGCTGGTATCCCATAGTCTGGAGGAGGTCGCCAGGTAGTTCCAGGTCACAAGCCACTTGCTCTCCATGCTCCCAGCCCTTCCTACTGCTATGGAGGACAGAGCCCAGGCACTGAGCCCCTATCCATGCCCCCTCATCTCCAGGGAGGTTTAGGACTTACCTTCCTTTGCCAGTGCAGCCTCTTTGGAGGCTGGTACTATTGCCATTTCTTTCCTGGAACAGGCAATGGTGATCAAGCACCAGGGTCCAAGCGTTTGCCAGATGGACTCACCAATGACCCCTCACCAGGACCCCATAGGAGGCAGTCACATCAGAGCTGAGCAAACTGACTTGGGACATGTACGTGGGAAAGATACCCTAGGACTTGCCATCTAGCTCCTTTGGACCCTGGGGCTCTGGGCACTTCTGCAGCCATGGGTGATGCCAGTGAAACTCCCTGGCTGGGCAGGAGGGCTGAAGGTTGGCCTGGAGCATGACGTAGGCACAGACATGTGTGCCTGGTGTCCGATGGCACTGAGGGGTCAGGGGAGCGCTAAGTGCAAGGCCAAACTGGAAAAGCTGGCAATGGCTCCTCAGAAGTTGGGGTCCAGGCCATTGGTTCTTTCTGTGCCTTCTGTATATCCCACCCAACACCATGAAGCGGGAGCACATTGAAAGGCAACATGAAGGTGGGGTGTAGCGCTTATGATTACACCCCAGACTGCTGCCAGGTTGACTGGCTTCAACTGTATCAGTGAATTGGCCACTCACAATGTAAGCATGGAGAGTACTTCAGTGTGTGGCTCATGCCCAGGGCTGCAAACACAGGAACACTGCAGGCCGTGTAGGGCTGTCTACATGTGTTGCTGACTGCTGGATTTGGGGGAAGCCAGGCAGTTGCTGTCCCAATGGTAGGCGGTCAGAGGCCGTACCCTGGGCAGGCCGGAGGGACTGAGGGGCAGGAGAGAACAAGGCAGTCCTCTGCCAGACCACATGTGCTGGGAGGAGGGGCAAACCCACGCAGGCAATCAGGAAGCAGCGGGTAGATGCTAGTCACGGGGCACCAGGCAGGGAAGGCTTAGCTGGGGGCCGGGGAAGGCAAGCTTGCAATACCGAAGAGCAAAGCAAACCCATGAGACGGGAGTTTCAGCCGAGTCGCCGCTCAGTGCTGCATTGTCATGTGGACCAGCGGATGCTGGCTGCCCAGCCCGGACCTGAGTGGGAGGCAAGGTGCAGCGACGCAAGTGAGGGGCCTCTAACTGTTTATTGAAAGAAGCAAGGGGGCCTGGGGGCACTGCCCTCAGGCCTGGATGTGGCTCTTGGCGTTGAAGGCCAGGTAGTAGATCACTATTCCGATGACTGCGGCCAATACCTCGGTGGAAACCCAGGGCCCGTTCCAAGTGCCCTGTAAGAAAGGGGAGAGCAAAGCAAGCTCAGGGGAGGGATGGGCGAGCGGCCCATCCCCTGCCCCCAGCCCCAAAAGTATAAGGTTTGCTGTGTGCTTACTGTTTCCCAAGCCCAGGCCAGCCTCTTCAGCCCACTCACCCGATGGTCTACGCTGACTGTGAACAGGGGGGCGATGGAAGAAATGTCTTCATTGTTTCTCTGAGCCTGCAAGGGAGGTGGTGGGGTTAGGGGTGCTGCCGGGTGGGGTGGGATATGAGAGATGAGAGCACTGACTTGAGTCAGGGAAGAAGGGAGGAGAGAGATGGGTAAGGGAAAAACACAAGGTCTAAGCACAGGTGGAGCAGGTGTATAAGAAGGCACCCACCCAGCCATCCTGCTCCCTATAAGCAAGGCCCCTAGTGGCCCCGAGCTCCTGGAAGAGGGGCTGGAGGGTGGAGGCAGGGTGTGCCCTCCCTCCTGCAGGCTGAGGAGGAGCCACAGGTGGCACTCACCTTCCTCAGCTGGCTGTAGGACTCCTCGTCGAAGAATCTGACCTCATAGGTACCTGCGTGGGCATTTTTGTGATCTAGGCTCCAGGACACCTGGGTTGGGTGTTTGGCACAGGGTAAGCACAATGAACACATCAGGGTCCCGCTGCCAGTGTTAACACAGCACCACTGCCAGCCGCCCAAGACAAAGAACCCTGATGCTGCTTGACCAGGCCACCTCTAGGGCTTCCAGTCACACCCGGGTGCGGGTGGCCTTCCCCCAAGATGACAGCCACAGTATCCCTTACCTGGTAACGTCCCACGTCCTGGCCCCGGGTGACAGGAAATTGTTTTCCACTGACGTCAGCATAAAGAGCCATGTTCTGGGGTGAAGACAAGGGGGGAGTCATTTTCTCCCCTATATGGCTGTTGGCAGAGGCCCCACTGTGCTGCCCACCTGTGGCCTATGAACAGGGGATACCATGTAAGAATCATGGAGGTAGCCCGGGCACAACCCAGAGCCTTGCCAGGAAGCCAACACCCACAGATACTGTCACTACTTCTCTGGTTCCTCAATTCTGGGGGGGAGGGTACATTCCTTTTTTGGCCTGACCCTCCTAACCCACAGCAATCCTGTCAACTGTGATCAGCATGGGATGATTGACATGTCATTATTTCTGAGCTTGTAAGGGGACATTGGGGTCAAGGAGTACCCAATGAGCTGTCCAAGAAATGTACCCAAAAAGGACTAACTTCCTTCTTTGGGCCTTTGCGATGCTGGTTAAGGTCAGGGGCCGAAGCTAGGTCTGTTCAGTCTTAATGCCCACATGGATATATACCTTGGCAAAGAGCAATCAGAAAATGGATGAAGGAGCCTGGGGACTGACCCCTGGCTGTTTCTCACTTCCACATACATTCTTTTTTTTTTTTTTTTTTTTTTAATGTTTTTATTGGTTTCAGAGAGAGGAAGGAAGAGAGAAACATCAGTGATGAGAGAATCATTGATCAGCTGCCTCCTACATGCCCCAGACTGGGGATTGAGCCCAAAATTCGGTCATGTGCCCTGACCGTGAACTCCTGGTTCATGGGTTGATGTTCAACCACTGAGGCACACTGGCTGGGCAACATACATTCTCTTAAGACACAGCAAAGTGTCTACCTACATTACTGCATCTAGGCAAAACCAGGCGGCTTAGGAGAATGTTCTCTGAACACCTGCTAGAATTTGATCTTAGTGAATGGAAATCCACATGGGGTCCTCGAGTCTGCTAGTTGAGTAGCTAATGCCCAAGGTCCCAGGCTCACTACCCGTTTCTCACCCCAGTACCCTCCTGGCTGAACACCCCTCCTTTACCTGGACCCTGTTCTTGCATGTCAAGGAAATCTCCACAATGAAGACAGTCTCAGTAGAAATGACGGCATCAGAAGTTGTGTAGTAGGAAGGGGTGATTTGGGGCTCCATGCAGGCCTCTGCTGTGGGGAAAAGGCAGAGAATGCCTGAGTAAGGTCTAGTTGATGCATGCTGGGCAGGAGGACAGAGGGGCCACCCTGACCCCAATGATCACACCTCATCAGCTAAGGACACATGGAACCCTTTGGACTCTGCCAGGTAAGATATGGGAAACAGATCTAAATAAGTCAGAAGTCAATGGCAAGGCAGGGTGGGGAATGGGAAGGCTTTGTATAGGTGGGAGCTCAATGGAAGGGCAAAAGAGCAGGCAATTGGGGGGTGGGGGAACTGGATGGATTCACTGCATAACTCGTGTCTGTCTGTAGACCTACAGATAGGGAAGCCATGCAAAGGTTTGGGGCTACAGCCTGCCTTTGGCCTATAGCACTCTAGAAACCCAGGGGTTTAAGCTGACCTCAGTTCAGAGCCATGAAGAACCCTGGGCAGCCAAAACCGGTTTGGCTCAGTGGATAGAGCGTCGGCCTGTGGACTGAAAGGTCCCAGGTTCGATTCTGGTCAAGGGCATGTATCTTGGTTGCGGGCACATCCCCAGTAAGGGGTGTGCAAGAGGCAGCTGATCAATGATTCTCTCCCATCCATGTTTCTAACTCTCTATCCCTCTCTCTTCCTCTCTGCAAAAAATCAATAAAATATATATATTTTTAAAAGAACCCTGGGCAGTTTATTCAAAGTGTCCTCCACAGACACCATAGGTGGTGCTGCTGGCAAAGCACGTGGGCTTTCAAGATGGGAGGGGTCTCCGCCTCCAGCTACTGTTGACACAGGCCAACAGTAGCCCCAATGTTTCCCGAGGGAAGGAAATGGGAGGGGTTCTGGATCCAGATGCACAATTGGTCCCTTGACCAGGGCTGCCCTGAGAAAGAATGCTGCCTTAGCCACCTTAGCCACCTCTAGAAGCTAGAGAGAAAAGGTGCCACTGAAGTCAAAGGGTGCCAAGTATAATAAATGCTACCAATGGTAAAGTTCTCTGAATGTGGTGTCCCTGCCTTAGGTTGAGGCAATCAGGGAAGATTTGGACATCGGGGAGATGCCTGGGAACACTGGTGGGGCAGTTCTTAGGAGCCACATCCTGGAGATTCTTCCGTGTCCAGCTAAGCTTGGCACCAAAACGTGTTTACAGCCAGGTATGTCCTTTCCAGACCTCTCTGTCTACAACATGGGGAATCCCTGAGAGATAAGTGAGAAGGGTGCAGGCAGGCCAGTTAAGCTGGTGCGGACACCAAGGGCGCTGGTCTGAAGGAGGGCAGGGAAAGTGAAAGCACAGAAAGCGACCCCTCCCCAGTCCAGCCCCTAGGAGGCTCCGGCTCCGGCAAGGACATCCTCCTCAGCACACTTCCGGGACTCCAGACTGGGCTCAACCCTGCCACTACGTGTTCATCTCTCAAGAACGCCAATTGATCTGTGGTTCTGCTCTGCCGAAAAGCCCTTTCAAGTTACATCAGGGCCTCAGATAAAAACTCAAGTCAACAGTCTGGCCTGACAGCCAAGCTCCCGCTTACCGTAACCGCTTCAGCTCAGATCTAACTCGCCCATGCTCTGCCTGGTCGGTCCCTTCTCCCTCTTCACTTTAAGAGCTCCCTTCCTGGGGAGGCCTGGCCCCACCGCGCCCTCTTCTCCAGCCCATTTTCTCCCCCTGATCACCCTGCGCTGTAGAGCTTTGCTCCTGAACGACCCTCCTCCGAGACCCGGAACTCTGGGAGAGGGAGCAGAGACGTGTGTCACTTTCCCTGCTGGAGAGGGAGCCGGGTGCACCTCTGAAACTCTTCCTCGCAGGAGAGGAAAGGAGAAAGGTTGGTTTGTTTCTTCCAGCAGCCTGGCTGCTGGGTAAACATGTGTGGTGCAGGGGCGCTTGGTGGCCTTGGTCGTCGCGCCCCGTGGCGACCTGCCTCTCAAGACGAAGAAGGCCCCGTACCCCGCTTTCCCCCGCACCCCTCCGCCCCGCCACGCACCACCAGTAGTGGAAGAGAAGCTCGCCAGAAACGAGCTCCTGCCATGCCGCTACCTGAGCAGCAGGAGAGGCCCGACAGCAGGAGGAGCGCCAGGGCGCCGAGAGATGCCAGCGCCACCATCGCCTCTTCTGTGCCGAGGTAAAAAGAGAGCGACTCCACTGAGCACGAGGGGCAGACAAGGAAGCGCGACACGTAAGAGGCCGCGGCAGCCAATCAGACGCCGGCGGGCCGGGCGGGCCTGTGACGTTGCTAGCGGCACTGACGTGTCCCCTTACTGGACCTGTGGCCCAGCTGGGTGCCCCCCCAAGATGGCGGCGGCGGCGGCGGCGGCGGCGGCGGCGGCGGCTGCGCTCTCGGCACCGGAAAAGGGCGTGGGAACCGGCAAGTCACGCGCATGCGCACCACAAGGACACGCCCACTCCGCGGATCCGCAACCATCCGAACTCTCGTGAGAGCGGCGTCTGCCTGCAGGGGCGTGCTGCTGCTCTCACTTTCCGTCATGGCGCTGAAGGTGGCAATGGCTGTTGGCGGCCCTGCGAAGGCAGTGCTCAGGCCGGCCTTCCTCTGCCGTCCTTGGGAGGTGAGAGGGGCGAGCGGGCGGCAGGGCCGGTCGCAGCGCTCGCCGGGGGTGCTTGCCCCTCGGTGGGATTGGATCTGGGGGCGGGGAGAGGGCTCCGCGCCGGAGTTCATTGGCCGTCTACGTTGTCAATGACGTTGGTCCGGCTTCCCCTGGTTTCTGCATCTTGTGGTGGGGCTGCTCCAGACAGGTGGGAAGAGGGGGCCTAGGCCCGAGTATCACCTCCCTAGTGCGTTTGTGGGATCCCCCACGAGGCAGTCACGTATCTTGGCCTGCCTTCTTGTTGCTACCTTCGGAATCCCGTTACCTGCCTACGTTCCTCGGGTTTCTCTTCTTGTGGACTGTTTTGCCGCATGTTCCAGTGGAGATGGAGAAATGGACTTGCCAGGACCCCCAACCCTCCTCATGACATTCTTCTAGCCCCAGTTCTCCCCATCGCAGGTGCTTGGAATAGGAAGGAGCTAGGGTTTGTGAGGCTGGCCGGGTGGGAGGCCTCTGGGGCTTTGCTAACCGAATCCTTCCTTTAGGATTCTGGTCTGATTCCTCTCTCTTGACAAACGTAAATGAGAATAATTTAATCTCTGCGTGAAGCATCAGTGAGCCAGAACTGGCCTGGAGGACAAAAGCTATGATCTCTAGGCCTGGCTACCCCACTGACCCACTGTGTGGCCTTAGGCCAGGTCCCTCCTCTATTTGGGCTTCAATTTCACCTCTGTCTCAAGGATCCAGCCAACTTTGACCTTCCAGAACCCTGCGACTTTGCTGACACTCCTTGTGGACACATCCCCTGTCATGCTTTCCCTATCAGGCCCCTCGGGAACATGGCCCTGTAACAGCACACCCTTTATGAAATTCTGTTTAAAAAGCTGGCTCCTCCCACCTGAGAGACTTTCCAGATTCTGGCAGCTAGGCTCCCACAGGGTCTTGGTGAAGACATCCGTCTCCTCCCTGACCTCCTTTGTGTGTGTGTGTGTGCATGTATCCATGTGAGGTGGGCATGGGGGCCTGTGAACAATCCGGGTAGGGCATTGCCCTGAGACTGGTTGACCTGGTTATGGGAACCTTTAGAAATTAACCCCAGAGTTTTGCTCCCACTGATGGGACCCTGTGGGAAAACATGTAGCCACCACTGACACTTAATCCAACGAACGTGTTGAAGAGAGAAGCCTCAGTAAGCTGTGGAGTGTGGGGGCCCTTTGGTGAGAATATATATCACCCTGGACTCTGTTCTTTTCATGGCACATTAAAGAACGAAGGCTGAGTCTTGGCGTGGCTCAGTGGTTGAGTGTCTACCTGTGAACCAGGAGGTCACGGTTTGATTCCTCATCGGCACATGCCCAGGTTGCAGGCTCAATCACCAGTTTGGTGCGTGCAGGAGGCAGCCAGTCAGTGATTCTCTCTCATCATTGATGTTTCTGTTTTTTGCTTCCTCTCTAAAATCAATAAAAAATATATGTGTTTTTTGGTTTTTTTTTTAAAGAACGAAGGCTGATAGTCCACCCCCTGCCATTTGAAGAATGAGCAGGAAGCCTGTGCGTATACCCCATCCTGCTGCATACCAAGCTCCTTTTTAAAAAATATATATTTTTATTGATTTTTTTACAGAGAGGGATAGAGAGTTAGAAACATCGATGAGAGAGAATCATCGATTAGCTGCCTCCTGCACACCCCCTACTGGGGATGTGCCCACAACTAAGGTACATGCCCTTGACCGGAATCGAACCCGAGACCCCCCAGTCCGCAAGCGGAAGCTCTATCCACTGAGCCAAACCGGTTTCGGCTACCAAGCTCCTTTGATGGGTAGCTTCACTGGACCTGGATTTGAGGCAGAACCTCTTTAACCCTGAAGGAAGGTGCCTGCATCGTTCAGAGCAAGGCTAAGGAAGTCTTTATCCTGAGAGCCCCCTGAGTCTTTGGCCAAAGCATAGGGACCAGGTGAGGAAGAGGTGATGTGATCAAGGTGGGGGAGGGGAGTTGCACAGAAGCAGAGCCAGGCCTGGTGCAAGGGCTGGCTCACCACCACACCGAACTCAGTGGACTTCAGAGGATTGAAGCCCAGGAGGAATTACCGTCAGGACTGCAGGGGTCAGCCCAGCCTCCCCTCTCATTGGACACCAGCCTTGACCACTGGCCTGAGGGGCTGTTGGGGTAAAGGGGCAGGTATGCTTTTGCACAGTTCTGTGTGCCCTGCTAGGGACTGAACAGCTCGCATACCTCTTGCCCAATCCTTCAGGAGTCACATAAGTAAGCACCTCTGTTCTGGGGGTTCCAGGGGAGGACGGGAAGCTGACAAGGTTAAGGTGTTTGCAGCCAAGAGTAGTGGATGTGGATTTGAACTGAGGTCTCCCCAGCCCCAGAGCCCTCCATCTCTTCTTTCTTTTTCTGATGTGCTCATTCATTCAGGAAATGTTTCTGTGTCCTGGCTCTGGGCAAGGCATTCTGCTGGGTCTTGGGGTGACAGTAGGGGGCAGGACAGATTTGGCCTCCGCTTTCAGGGACTTAGGGGTTGGGGAAGGAGCCAGGCAGAGACAACCTTCTAGAAGATCGTGCTTGGACTGGGAGGAATTGAGGTAAGGCTTTGGGAGGCCCAGGGGAGGGGGAAGGTGCTAATAGCTCAACACCCTCAGGGCATTAGAGAAGGTTTCCTGGGGGAAGAGCAATTCAAGTGTCCTTTCACAAGGTTATATGAAAGCCTATAAGACAAGACGATTCCAAATATTGACAGGGACTAGAAGGAAAACCGAAATGCTCCGAGTGTGTCGTCTGTGGCTACAGATACAGGGGCCACGTGAATCAGCAGATACCCCCAGGGCATCTTGTCCTCGCAGTCACCCCTCCCCCTCTTAGCCCCTGGTCAGCCTCTCCCTGAGCTTTCTAGACTTCTAGCAGGAAGGCACGGCTCTTTGAGAGATGGCCATGGTGACTCTGCTGTTGACTGGAATGCTCTGCTGCTGCTCCGCAGGCAAGTGGCAGGGCATCCCCAAGTGACGAGGAGGACCTTGGCTCTGCCCTGCCTCTCTGGATTGAGGGCCACCCGGTGTGTTCCCAGGTGGGGGCACAGCAGGGAGGAAAGTGCGGGCCTGTGGCCACCCTGCGGGGGGACCTTGGATGAGGGTGGCTTCCTCCAGGTCAGTGTGGGGACTCCACATTGGTCACTTCTCAGCACCTGTCCTATTTGGCTTGGTGGCTTTTGCTCTGGAGCTGTCAGGCACGGCACTCATGTGGCCAAACATGGCTCCTCTGAGTCACAGTTGGGGACATTTGCCATCCATGTAAGCCGGGAAGCAGTTTTGCAATCCTTTATGAAAGTCTTCCAAAAGATTGGTGTCTGTTATTCTTCTATAAATGGCCGAGCCCTACCTGGTTTTTCTTAGCGGTTAGAGCATCAGCCCGCAGACTGAAGGCTGCAGGCTCAATTCCAGTCAAGGGCATGCACTTCGATTGCAGGTTCGATCCCCTGCCCTGGTCAGAGCGCATATGGGAAGCAACCAATCGATGAGTCTCGCTCACATTGATGTTTCTCTCTCTGCTCTCCCTGTCCCTTCCACTCTAAGAAAAAAAAAAAAATCAATGGAAAAAAATATCCTCAGATGAAAATTTAAAAACAAAACAAAACACCCACATATAAACATGGTTGAATTTGGATTTCTGATTCTGGAGGGGGTGCTGGGAGCTGTCTTTTTCTTCTGATCTCCATATCTCCATGTTCTAGATTTTCTCCGTGTTCTACTTTTGTAATAAGGAATAAAGATCAAATGATCATCGTGGTGGCCCTCCATTTTGTTATAGTGATTTCCTCATTGTATTATGTTCAGGGTACCACCTTTTCCATGTTACAAACATCACTGAACAGTAATAATTGTCCAAAAAGGAATCAGAAACAACCTAAGAGGGGGGAAGGAGACATTTTTTTTTTTTTTCAAAACTGACCATGCAGCCCTAGCTGGTTTGGCTCAGTGGATAGAGCATCACCTGCAGACTGAGGGGTCGTGGGTTCGATTCCCAGTCAAGGGCACTTATCTTGGCTGCAGGCTCCTTCCCGGCCCTGGTCAGGGCATGTGCAGGAGGCAACCAATCAGTGTGTCTCTCTCACATTGATCCACCACCCCCCCCCCCCCCCCCCCCGTCTCTCCTCCTCCTTTCCACTCTCTAAAATCAATGGAAAAATACCCCCAGATGAGGATGAACAACAACAAAAAAGGAAAAACTGACCATGCAGCTGAAGGAGGCATGAAGGGTTAGGACCACCCCCCCGTGGTGCTTCAGCAGGCTGGTCTCTGGGAAATGGCTCTGGAGCCATTTGTCTGGGCATATGCTGTGTGCTGTTGTTTACCAGACATTGTTCATGGGTTAAGTTGCTCTCCCATGCTAAATTGACTTTCTGGGCTGGACAACACCACTAGCATCTGGTTTCTCTTTGCCAGGTTCTGGGTGCCAATGAGGCCCCCCGGAGGAGCATCTCAGTAAGTACTTGCGTGGGTGTGTGTGCATGTGCATGCTTGCACATATGTACATTTATGTTCGTGTGTGTGTGTGTGTGTGTGTAGATGTGTGCATGTGCTCTGTGTGTTGTGCCTCTTTGCTCCCTTATGTCCTTCCCTCTGAGGCATGGTCTCCAGAGGTCACCCACCCTCCTCCTCACCTCCTTACCTTCGCTGTGCTAGTTAGACAGCATCCCCAGGGAAAAGACAGAGTCTTGTTCTCCAACCTTGGCTA